AATAAATGTATTCGCTTTGGTGAAAATTTTTACGATTCCTTCGCAAAATATCCGCGTTACAAATACATTCAATTACGGCAATATAATCGAGGACTAACGCTCCATACATTATCTAAATTTCATAGATAATAAGGATACACGATTGCAAGCGATTGAAATATTAATCGCGAGGTAAGGAACAACAATGCGAGCCCAGATATCGCAAGTAAAGGAAAATGCATTAACTATCAATGACATCGTAACAACACTTTATAAGGCTACACTTTATCGGGAAAACTGATAACGATAATGATAATTATAACGTGCTCGAGCCAATGAACAATGTAACATTATTTGTCCACTGCTCTGATCGAGCGATCGTGTATTACCAGCCGCGGTTGACCATTTCAGGCCGAATGAATCACTTGGAGTGAGATCGAGGTACATTCTATTTATCTCACTCTCGCTCGCTCACCCCCCTCCCCCACCTCCACCTCCACCTCCACCTCCACCTCATCCCTGACACACATATGCTGCTACTTTGCACAAATGCACGCAAGACCAAATGAGATGTCTTATCTAATCTTTGGCCATCTAATTGAAAAGTACGATAGATACGGCTAAGACTGCCTTGTTAGATGGACTTTATAATAATGTCCTTTACAATGTTTACAATTGTTCGTCTTGAATTATTCGGCAAAATTAATAACAATCGATGTGACTATTGAGAGAGTAAAGCTCAAGGTATGTCGTAATTGCTTCAATGGCTTAATGAGATGCACCTCTCGTGCATTAAAAGTCAATACAATGACCATTTAATGATAGTCCCATGGACTTTAATTTATCTTGTCGTTTAGCGTTTATGGACCCGAATAGCCGGTCGCTGTGCCGGGTGCTTTTTAATACTCGCGATGTTCCTTTGACTTTACTCGTGTCACTCAATTCGTTCGCGAGCTTACGACGAGCAGTCCAGAGTCGATCCCGGAAGTCGTCGATACAAAAGCAACATGACTCTTGAGGTCACGCGCCAGATCCTCGTCAATCTTAATTATTCGACGCTTTTTCGTTACAATAGCCGCGCGTAGAGCACGGAAGGCACTCGGCTGTACTCGACAAAATACTTAAGCCTGCGCTATTATATCCTATCCTTCCGTCGCTCGATAGCATCGCGTCGCGAAATAAATTTCGCCAATGATTATACCGCATATTATCGCCGTTGGCTTTTATTGGTTAAAAAGGACCTCTTGGTGCACAATGTCGTAGGAAATTGAGCGACGACACTCACCACTAGACACTCTACTATCTTACGACTTTCATTTATCAAAACGTTCACATTCGGCACCAACGCCCAATGCCTCTTGGTTAATAAATCACTAAGTAAATGATGCCCTACGTTGCATAAAAGCCCAATTGTCACTGTAATTCTTATTTGGCTAATTATCCATTGGAATGCTTGGCATTGAATACGAATCGTTAAGTTCTCTTTCCAACTACATCGCGATCATCGTACGACATGTCGCGATAAGTCATGCATTATTACCAATTGACCGCGTCACTGATTAAAAATAAATTCACTTTTATAACGTGTTGAGCACATAAATTGCATAATGAATTTTACAGTTGGAAAATTTAAATACAAATGCATGATACAGCAAGAAATCTAACTCAATCGTGTTTACTTGTGCAACAGAGATTTATGTTAATTAAGCCCCGTATACGTACAATTTTTGCATACAATTTAGCCACTAAATAAAATTATACTGCGCTACATAATCTACATGATAAGTAGATAGTATATAGCAAAGTGTGATCTATCATCGATCGATAATTCGATTTATGTAAAACGAGATTGTTAATTGAGCGAGGAAGAAGCTCCTACATAATAGAATCCCTCAATTATTATTCATCTAAATCCGACCAACGACGATTGGACAAAGAATTTTTGAATATGCCGAACCACCCCAGCTATGGACCTAATTATATCTCTTTTAACTCGCAAATCTATGTAGAATAGCTTTATTCTTACAATAGCCCCAGTGTATCTTTATACAAGCGCCGAGTGGACTATTATTTTTTTATTTCCTTTTTCTCAGACAAAATTGTTAATCGCGAAATATGGAAAGTTCATACGGCTCATTTCGATCGCCCTAAACTTCTTCTCTCGACCCAATCAATGACTTCGATACATTTTGACTGGTCGCATCACCTCTCTTATCGCACGAAATGTTGCGAAATTAATCAGTAAAGAGAAGTTTCTTGGATTTCTAGCCATCCAATTATCTTCCATCGTACATAATCGTTACTAAACACAACTAATTAAATTCTAATGTAACTCGAAAACGAACGGCCGGATATTATTTTACACACTGTGGGGCAAACATGCGCTGGTCAAAACCAACGAAGCGCTAACTGTCCAAGTCTAATCCATAATGACGCGACAATAGTAATTTGTTTAAATTTCCCAAACTGCGCCAACTCAATTACCCTAACCACCCAAACCTTTCGGGTTTCCTTTCGGGCAATGCTATAAAATGTTACCATCCTTAATCGTATATGCACACGCCTCGTCGATCCCCCAGTCGATGTACCCAATACCGCAACCAAAAACGAACGATTCAGTAAAAATCATCAACAAAAAGCAATCTATTGCGCATGCCGCACAAATCATTGACGTACGTCATAAGAAGGCGTCAGCAGCCGGACTGCTGACAGTAGCATTTTTACTCCCGTAATACGAAAAATAAGGAAATAAGTAAGGGACGTTTCGTCTCATAAGGAAAACGTGCGGAAATTATAGATCAGAATTGCTGGAGTCGTGCGGGAGAGGGAAAAAGTCGCGCACAAAGGCGATGCCGCGCTAAGTGAAAGCAAACGGAATGCCAGCGGCGTGTGAATTACATTCCTGACACACGGCATCCAAGAAGTCCGGAGCGCCGCGCGGACATCGTTCCTCAGTAACCCCGGCATAACCGAATGGCATAGCCCCCCCCCTCCCACCCACCCTCTGCCCCCACCTCCCAAAGCCCCGTCACTACTCCACACCGTCAAACGCATAAACTCCATCAGCTCGCCGCCCCCTTCCATCGTACGCACATCCAAACCTTGTCACTCTACTCATCCC